TATATATATATATATATATACACATACACATACACATACATATCTCTGCTTGAGCAATTCTTTAAACATTTTTTGTGACATTTTGCGCCAAAGAAATACTCTAAAGTGTCCAAAAATTATACTTAAGTGTCAAATTTTAAATAATGTCGAGTATTGATTATGTTTAATGTATCAAAGTTTGCATTTTTGTATTGTGACAACCTATGATTGTACTGTTAAAATATTAGACATTGGACAGGAACACAAAAGTTGAAGCAGATTTGAGACTACACCCCCTTAGCCTGGTTCCATTACTAGTTAAGTTCTGCCCCCTCTGAGAAAACAAAACAGAATTTATTATAAAACTATAAATACAGTAGACTTTCACTTATCGCAGGGGTTACGTTCCAGACACCCCAGCGATAAGCAAAAATCCGCAAAGTATGGAAGTTATATTTATTTTAGTATTTCTAGATAAATTTCCACTTTTTCTGAAGCTGTCTGTTGCTCGCCCACCTGTTATGTCTCTCTGGGACACGATGGGGAAAGACAGACCCTACCCTGCCCCCTACTTCTCTTTCTCTGCTGTCATAGATAGCCTTGGAAAGAGAAAGGAGGGGGCGGGGGTCTGTCACCTGAGTGAGCCGCACTCAGCCACTGTTTTTTTTTTTTTTTTACTGATCTGAACTGATCTGTTCATCCCTGCTCTCTGAACAGTAGCAATAGGGAAAGACAGATCCTACCCCCTCCTTTCTCTTTCTGAGGCTGTCTGTCATAGCAGAAAAGGAGAAAGGAAGGGGGCGGGGAGTGAGGTCCGTCTTTCCCCATTGGCTCTGCTGTGACAGACTGCCTCAGAAAGAGAAAGGAGGGGGCAAAGTGGGGTCTGCCTTTCCCTATTGCCAATCGTGTGTCGTGTACAATCTTGCGTTGAAAACTTTCTAAACAGTGAGTCCTCGAAAGTCGAACCACGAAGTATTGAGGACTACTGTACAACCAAGTTTTTTAAAGGTGTTGACTCATTGAGTTGGGTTCTTACATTACTGTTCGGTTCAAACATTTCTTTTTCTAACACCTTCAGCTGTAATTAGATTTCGTGCTTAAAAGAAAAGTCACGTGACACCATGACTGTGTGTGAGGGTGGGGCTTAAAGCTCAAACATCCTTAGTGCTCAGACTCTGGTTACAAAAATAAAATATGGCTGTGAAACTGAACCTCATGGCCTCAGTTTAAAAAAAGCAATAGCAGACATAGACACTCTATCCATCATACTTGTGTTGATGAGACAACCCTGCTACCCAACCCTCATACACTCATCCATGCTCTATATGCTGTTGCACCTTTGCTTGAGCTTTAGGATGGCTCTCTGGGCGGATGAGGGCTCCGCAGGCCACAATGTTGAAGCTGAGGCCCCCCAGAATGAGCAGGGCCCCTCGCCAGGCATACGTCTCCACCAATAGCTGGAAGAGGGGGTTAAAGGCGAAGGAAGACAGGCCGATGCTGGAGAAGCCCAGTCCTAAAGCCAGAGCACGCCGACGGGTGAAGTTAGCCATGACGGTGGCCACCATCGGAGTAAAAACCAGCCCCCACCCAAAACCTAGAGGTCGGAGGAAGCAAAGGGTACAATAAGGTTGGACACATCTCTGGTCTAGTTACACAGCTAACTGATTAACTGCAAAAGTTATGTTTTTCTTAAATATTCACCTCAGAAGACACATCTGAACTCAGTTAAGAGGAGGTCGATAAAACAGAGAAGTCACCATGAGACACTTCAAACTCGGCCCATAATCTCCAGACAAATATTTCAAGAATTGTCTTTCAGTTTATTTTGAGCCTTGATAAAGTGAAAAAAAACAACCATTTATAAATGTGCCCTATTTATTTTTACTGTAACTTCACAAACGTTGACGCATCAAACGTAAAGAACAAAAATGTCTCAACCATTTTTTAACAGAGCAGTGATCAGTTTTGTTTAATAATCTTTGTTCTTTCCGTTTTATTGTGAGTTTAGGCACTTGGGGATTTTCAGACGAGTTTGGGTTTGATCACAGCAGATCTCCTCAGTTGTCCTCTTTTCCAGCTCCTTATACCACCTGAACGATGCTAGTAATCAAACCAAGTTCAAGTCAACTTTATTGTCATTTGCATCACATGTGGTACATGAGGTGGAATGAAATTATGTACACAGGGTCTCAGTTACACCCAAAAATAGCAAAATATAAGTATAAAAAGAAACAGTAAATAAGGATCTAAAGTATTCACTAAGAAATATGCTAAACAAATGCTAAAATGTATGCTAAAAGCTCTAAGATATACACTAAACACTAATAATGTAAAACAATATAGCGTAACAGCAGCCCGAACATGAGTCTGTGGTGAGAAGATGGGTATGAATGAATACAGCTGCATGAGATAATCAGCAGCATGAGATCAACAGCATGAGATCAGCAGCATGGATAATCAGCAGCATGAGATCAGCAGCATTGGTTAATCAGCAGCAGGAGATCAGCAGTATGAGATAATCAGCAGCATGGATAATCAGCAGCAGCAGCATGAGATCAGCAGCATGGATAATCAGCAGCATGAGACCAGCAGCATTGGTTAATCAGCAGCAGGAGATCAGCAGTATGAGATAATCAGCAGCATGGATAATCATCAGCAGCAGCAAGGATAATCAGCAGCATGAGATCAGCAGCATGGATAATCAGCAGCATGTGATCAACAACATGAGATAATCAGCAGCATGGATAATCAGCAGCACAGATGTCACAGATCACCAATTAAAGAGGCATTACAGTGATTTTTTTACATGTATTTTTTAACAGTGATTATCCCGATTAGATATTCATGAGTCCAACAGCTTCAGGGTAGAAGCTGTTCCTCAGTCTAGTGGTATCACACTTCTGCCTGTATCAGCACATCTGCTGTCACTTTCTCATCAAGCCTCCTTGTTGTCCGACAGGTCGTTTGATCCGTTTGGCAGTTTCTATTAACATTTGTGTGTCTTGACTCATGGTGTGCTACTTTTGGATGCCTTCCAGTTTAAATATTTAACTCTCATGTTGCCTTTGGGTCAAAATGACCCACGATTGACCCAATGGTAACAAGAGGGTTAAGTTTGGGTTTTGATTAACTTGCCTCTTGTTTACGACACATCCCCATTTTACCTGAGATTGCTCCCATGGTGAGGTACAGATGGACAAGACAAGTGGCCTGGGAGGCAAGAACGAGGCCGAGCCCGGAAAGGAAGCCGCCTATCATCACTACCATCCTGGGGTTGTATGCGTTACAAAGTGCTGCACCCAGTGGACCTGCAAAACAAACAAGTTTTCAGAAATCATTCATTTTTAGTTCCTGACTATATTCTAAATATTTTTCACTTTTGGATGAATGTCAAAAATGTGCATCAAAAAACACTGAAGCCATCTTTACTCATTTCACTCGTTCATTTACACACATTGTTCTGAAATACTTGTTGGGAGGATTGAATAGTGAGCAAAAGTCTTAGTCAAATCATAAATGATCACTTAAACAATCCAACAAACAAAAACGTGTTTAACTGGCAGCCTTGTTTCCATTTAAACCAGGTGTCTCAAACTCGCGGCCCGGGGGCCAATTTGCGGCCCACAGACCGATCTTTTGTGGCCCCCTACCTGAAATCAAAGCTTGGTGTTACTGCGGCTCGCGCGTTTTTTCCTCATGTAACCTGCATTTAATATGATGACTTTTATTGTTGCGGGCCCACTTCCTGTGTTGCCCCCAAACTATTTTTTTTTTTTTTTTAAGCCACGGGTCACGCTTACTTCCTCCTCGATCTCCACTGTTGCTGTGGTGTGCTCCGTTCCTGTGTCTCCCAAACAAATTGATGTACTTCAAAATCTACATTTGCAAACTCCATTATATGGCGTGTGTGTTGTCATCTTGTAGCAGCATTGTTTCATGTTTAAAACAACCGTGCGATTGGTCACTGAGGCGTTGTTTTTAACAGAGTTGCTGTCGCCGCTAATTCAGAACTCCATTGGGATTCTGCTATTAATAGCCACCGGGCCGCACATCGAGGCCAAGTACTCCTCACTCCGTTGTAGAGGTAAACAGTTATTTTTGGATATATAATGGAAGCCGAATTGTGGAAAAAGGTCTGATATATGCACACAATTGTTGTTTGATGCATTAGTTATATTTTTTGTGCGTTATGTTACTTTTTATAACGACGCTAAAACGGTAATGAAGTTTTGTATGCTGGTAAAATCAACTGAATAGAATGTAGCTATTCATATCCTGATGCATGCTCAATAATCCAGGTAGAAAAATCAAAAAAAGTCAGGTCCTCTGGATGGGTTAAAAAAAAAAGTAAATTGTAGAAACGTTACGTCTTTCATTTGAAAGACTAACAGTCCGAGGAGCTGTATTCAGCTCAGTCTTATAAATAACACCTTCTCATAATGGATCAACCAGTTTGTTGTTGACATTCAAAACTAGCTGTTCACATGATGGAGAACCATCAGCCTAACAATGCTCGTTAGTACCCTATAGCTGCTTGCTATTCACAGGGGGCTGAGTGATATTAGCAATAACAGCATTGTAATTTTTAATTGCAATTTTTTTTTTTTTGTGGAATACTTGATGCGTCCCAGCCTCGCCCAGACTCTACCTCCAGCGCCCCCCAGGTAAGTCGAGTTTGAGACCCCTCATTTAAGTATTTTGAATCTCTTTTAGCAGCAATCCTCATTTCTAAATTTAAAGCTTTTGAAACCAGCGACTCACTGAAGAACTGCTGCGCCGCCAGGCCGATGGACGAGATCCAGGAGATGGCCTGAGCGCTCTCCTCGAAGTACTGGACGAACTCCACGAAGAAGATCCCCAAGCTGCGCATCAGGCCGAAGACGAGGCTGGTGCTGATGAACATGGCAGCGACCAGCACCCAGCCCCAGCCTCCATCCGGACCTTCGACTTCATCGCTCCGGCTCCTGGGTCTCAGCTTAGAACTGGTCATGCTTGTTACAGAGCTACATGAAAATAAAAATAAAAATAGTACAGATGAGCTAGTTGTGTTGGAGGTAAAGGGTCTTTGAGAAAGAGCTTCATGCAGCATACGTCTCGTCTTTGCAGTTGTTAAAACGGTAATGATTAACCTCCAACAAGCCAATAAGCTCCGTCTGTGTCGAACGTATCGAGTTGCTTAACAATTTAACCCTTATTCACCTCATGTAGGTGAAAGGTGAGAGAGTTGCAGCAGTGACCCCTGATGAGACTTTACTGATAACTTTTTATACAAGATGATTCTGTTCAGTACGTCTTACAACCCAACTAGACTCCTCAACAACACTCTATACATCTATAAAAGGGACACCCTTATTATTACAATTAAAATGTTTAAACTCTGAGGTTATTTACCAATTATATAATTGTAATTGGTAGGAGACTATAAAAGTAATAAGGTTTCATTTGTTCAATTTACAACAGCACATTTGACTGTGTTTGGCATCCCCTCCCCTTAAAAAATTGCTCCTGATAAATTTCCTTGTTTGTTGTGTTTTACTTGTTTATAATGAAATGAAATTTCCAGGTTTGCTGCCATGCGACTGGTTGATTACAACCAAACAGCTGAACAGGTGAGTGCATCTCTTTCAATTTAGAATAATTAAACTACTAAAAGTAACGGACGGTGCCAAGGGAGGAGTGGTACTGCAAGAGGAAATCTGGAGTGGCAGAGCAGTATGTTAGACTGGTACAAGACGTGTGAGGACAGCAGGACAGTGGTGAGATGTGCTGTAGGAGTGACAGATAGCTTCAAGGTGGAGGTGGGAGTGCATCAAGGATCGGCTCTGAGCCCCTTCTTGTTTGCTCTGGTGATGGACCGACTAACAGATGAGGTCAGGCAGGAATCCCCGTGGACGATGACGTTTGCAGATGACATTGTGATCTGTGGTGAGAACGGAACAGGTGGAAGAGAACTTGGAGAGGTGGAGATATGCACTTGAAAGAAGAGGAATGAAAGTCAGCCGTAGTAAGACAGAGTACATGTGTGTGAATGAGAGGGAGGCTGGTGGAACAGTGAGGGCACAAGGAGCAGAGGTCACAAAGGTGCAGGGCTTCAAGTACTTGGGGTCCACTGTCCAGGAAAATGGGGACTAAAGAGGTGAAAGAGAGAGTTCAGGCAGGATGGAGTGGATGGAGAAAAGTTTCAGGAGTGATTTGTGACAAAAGGGGTCAGCAAAGGTCAAAGGAAAAGTTTACAAGACAGTGGTGAGACAAGCTATGTTGTATGGTCTGGAGACAGAGACGTGGACAAAAAGACAGGAGAAAGAACTGGAAGTGGCAGAGATGAAGATGTTGAGGTTCTTAGGAGTGACATGGATGGAGAAGATTAGGAATGAGATCAGAGGTACAGCACAGGTTGAACTGGGAGATAAAGTTAGAGAGGCCAGACTGAGATGGTTTGGACATGTCCAGAGGAGGGACAGTGGGTATACTGGTAGAAGGATGGTAGAAATGCATACAAATTAAAGTATTTTTAAATGGATCCTAAATGGAAATTGAAGGTTCACGGAAGCATAAACAACAAGAAGTTGTTCTACAGTTCAACACTAAACTAAATGTGCAGTACAATAAATAAAAAACACAATTAGAGCCATTATAATACCATGTTACTGGTAAATTAGAATTGTACTTGTATGAGAAATTGCTCAAGACTATTTTAATGACTTTTATTGTTTATATACGTAGAAGCAGAAATAATGGGGAAACTAATTAATTGTTTAGTGGACTAAATTTGAACAATGACTGAATAATTTTCTGAAATTTTAAAGTCTTGTTCAGATCGTTGAAGAATTGTGTTCCATGACGAAACCCCCTGGTACTGGACCCGATGTAACAAACTGGGTGAGTGTGCAGTTGTATATCCTTCAGATCTATGTAGTGCTGTTTAATAGTCCTGTCACAATAAACAATAAATCAATTAATCGCATGATAAATGAAAATTATCAACCTCATTTTTATTTATTGGCTTTATCGTTTCTTCGCGTCTCTCTCTTTTCTACTGAAGACACTGGAAGACAAAAAGCTAAACTCCAGTGCTCTTCACCGACCCCTCCATTTCTCTTTAAAATCCATTTTAACCGTCCAGAATCGTGTTTTTGGATCGTTAAAAGCAGCCAAGCTGAGAAGCTAAGCTACAAGCTAGGCTAAACAGGGCGACCTCGGGAAAAAACCTCTGTCTTGTCGAAGCTCCAAAATTCACAGTTGAAACCCGTGCCTTCGTAAAAAAAACTGTTTTGTCTCTGCAAAAAGAAGCTGAGAGCTTGTTTAATGATTTTATATTAAAAGCTATGTGTGAAAAATATTATGCTAAAGAGCTCAAACCACACCGAGCATTCGCCATTTTGACAACAACAAAAAAAAAAAATTAAGGAGGCAGCCCATGTCACGTCAAGGGGCCTACCTCCCATTTTTCTTAAAAAGACACGCTGCTTGCTCCCTCACTATCCATCCTTTGGTTCAAACAGTCTTATTCTGCCATCTAGTGGTCAAAAAAGGCACTAAACTCAAAACAAAATCAAAATTTCTTCTTAAATTTGACAATTTGAAACTAATTATCGTCAAATTTCAAACAATATTATCGTGTATCGCAATAATTTCTGAGACAATTATTCGCCCAGCAATAGGAATAACAATTTCCTTTTTCACAGATCCATTGTGACAGATGAAGGCCCCACGGACAGCGATTGTCCTTGGACGATGAGGTCTTGAGCAATGCAAGAATTAACATCTGGAACTGTTCAATATGCACCTGAAAAGTACCGGTATCTATAAAGAACGTGCATTAAAAAGAAATTGCAGGACAAAAAAATTTCCGAGTATGTCTGCAAATCAATATATTAATCAATCAATCAACCTTTATTTACACAGGTAAATCCCATTGAGCCTCGAGGACTCATTTACAAGAGAGACCTGATTTCAACAAAGAAAGATGACAACAATGGACAACATATATAATATATTAAATGATTCTGAGAGAAGGGTTTCTATATTTTTTTTCTCTGATGTGCGATTTTTTTTAAATCCCACGGCTGATTTTCCTCAAACTTGGTGAGAAACATCCTTTAAATGTGCGGAATTATAAAACAAAATCTAGGTGAAATGTTGATTTTTTTTTTATTTATTTAATTTGACTTTAAAACTGCCGCGCATGCGCAAATACAGCCCAGCCGTAAAGACTGTTGCAATCCGGACCGGTCTCGTGCTGATGTGGACGAGCTGAGGTGGAAATTAGAAAACTAGATGGAGGATCACTTTGAAGGAAGAAGCCGAAAACAAGAAGAAACTGCCACAAAGTACAAAATAATGTTTCCATTTCATGTGGAGCTAAAACACGTGACCCTGAGTTTCGATTATAAACAGGATGTCAGGAGTACACATGCTCTCTTTAACTTCACACGACGTAACCTCCAAGTGTCATAAAAACCCAACGAGAGCAGATACTTAATGTTTCAGAGTAGTTTCAACTCCGAGGACTACAAACCTCGACTTCGTGTCGAACCAGCAGCGCTGCCTCAGTTTCTGATCTACGGAAGCCGGGTGGTCGCCGGCAGCTGAGTCTGCTCTGCGCTGTGAAAAGTTTGAAACCGGTAAAGTCACTCACCGTGTCTGTGTCCGGTCAGCCCTCTGCACAGGAGTCCCGGTTCGCTGCAGGAAACGGAACAGAAACTAAAATCCATTATCGACGACCGGGAGAGTCCATCGGGTGAAAGAAGAAAACTCCGCGCTCAACCTGCGCAGCTGCCTTAAATCAATGGCGGCCGCCATGTTGGCTCAGTTACCGTTATGAAGAAGTGAAAGAAACAGACAAGTCAACTTTATTTATAGAGCACGTTTCAAACAGAAGCTTTAAGTGGACTGAAACTTGTTACATTCAGGTCCCGAGTGGACCCCTAGAATGGTAAAGAATTGTCAGTGAGCCCATGATTACACTGACAATTGATTGCATTTAATAAACTGTGGAATTGGTAAACACGGATGCTGATCTTTGTTTCTTTTATTTTCATGTAATTGCAATATGGTAGCAAATAGATAAAAAGCCTAATCACAACTGTCTTTATTATCCACTCATAAAAATTAATAAATTACAACAATAAGCTGTAAACAAAAGCTACCTTTGCAAATATTGTTTAAGAAAATTAATGTGTTCAATATATTTAGTTGACTTAATGACATATAAAGCAGAGCTTGAGGAGATTTGCTTTATGTAAGCAAATGTTTATTCATAAAGACTCACAAAGACAAAGTACTGAATCATATACAGTTTGCCCCGCTCTGTGCCCTTGAGCAAGGCCCTTAACACCATCTGCTCCCAATCAGGTCTTGAATATGAGTCCTCGTGACTCAATGAGGCTACCTGTTAAATAAAGGTTAAATAAAATAAAATTCTGAAAAATAAACATGTTTGTCAAGATAAGATATTACATGAAGAAAACAAACTTAAATAACTAGAGAAATTGCAAAATGCAGTGTGAATGCTTGTTGCAGAAACTTGCTGAAAAACAGCTGAAATTAGCAACAGCAACAACAAAAACATGCTGAGTTGTAGCTGAAATGGAAGAACAAGTCGAAATTAGCAGCAGGAGCACGTTTGCTGAATTTTGTTTAAATAAACTTAAATGAGCACAAAAATTATGAAATTAGCTAAAAAAGCGGAAATTTGCTAAAAGTAGCTGAAAATGTGCAAGTTTAAGAAAGCAGCAAGAACGTTTTCTGAAATCGGCTGTGATAACAAGAAATGAGCCCCAAAATGTGGAAATTTTCTGAAAAAAAAAGCTGAATTAGCAAAACAGCTGAAAGGTAGCTAAAACCCCAGAAAGAAGCTTAAGTTACTAGAAGGAAGTGGAGAGAGCACAATTTTGCACAATTACACTGAAAGGAACAGAAATGGGAAATTATCTTAAAAAAAGCTTAAATTAGCAACAACAAAAAAACAGCTAAAAAAGTAGCTAAAAAGGCACAAAGAAGCTTAAATTACCGGAAAGGATTGGAGAGAGCATATTTTTGCTGAATTTGACTGAAACACTTGAAATGAGTGCAAAAAATGTGGAATTAGCTGAAAAGGCTAAAATTAGCATAAAACAGCTAAATATTAGATGAAATAGCAGTAAAAGCTGAAACGTGCAGGAATAAACTGGAGCATAACAAGCTGAAATTAACAGAAATAAGTTTTTAAAAAGTACGAAAAAGTTTTAGGTAGCAGAAAGAAACTGAAAGGAAAACAAAACAGCTGAAATTAGCTTTAAAAATATTATTGTTTGTTTTTTGCACACGTAAGCTGAAAGAAGCTGACCCAGAACAAAATGTGAAAGGTGCAGTAAACGGTTGTAAACACATCTAAAGTTCTGTTTGTTAGATTACAAATTCTAAATTTATAAAGGCATGGCTACTCTCAAGTTTTGGACATTTCTTTAGGCAAGTCTATAAAAACTTTCCAAATAAAACTTTTGTTTTAGCACAAAGACACAATTTGTTTCAATTTATTTAGTTAAATCAATGGGAAAAAATACAGAAACGAGCACAGTATGACATGTAAAGTAGTACTTGGGTCCTCCACGTGTCCACTTAAAGCACACAATGTGCTGTCATGGTCAGATGTATAAATAAGATTAAATTTAAAAAATGGAACATCAAACAGAGGAGTCCATATTTTCTACAAGTTCTTGTTTGATTTCATTTTCAGGGGATCGACACTAGAGGGAGGCAGCTACAAGGTCCTAAAATCAGAACTGCCTGAAAAAACACCTTTTGCTTAAATTACTTATAAATGTCTATTTTAATGTTAGAAATTTACCTTGGAATTTTTCTAAAGCCGTTTGTTTTTACTTGAGAAACAATTATGTCCTCAGTTTGTACCAATAAATTAAATGGAACAAATGGAGCGATCTGGGTCAAGATTGTTCAGATTTCTACAAACCGGATTCCAAAAAAGTTGGGGCACTAAACAAATTGTGAATAAAAACTGAATGCAATGATGTGGAGGTGCCAACATCTAATATTTTATTCAGAATAGAACACAAATCACAGATCAAAAGTTTAAACTGAGAGAATGTATCATTTTAAGGGAAAAATCTGTTTCCAAATTTCATGGCGTCAACAAATCCCAAAAAAGTTGGGACAAGTCCATTTTTACCACTGTGTGCCATCCCCCCTTCTTCTTACAACACTCAACAGACGTCTGGGGACAGAGGAGACCAGTTTCTCAAGTTTAGAAATAGGAATGCTCTCCCATTCATGTCTAATACAGGCCTCTAACTGTTCAATCGTCTTGGGCCTTCTTTGTCGCACCTTCCTCTTTATGATGCTCCAAATGTTCTCTATAGGTGAAAGATCTGGACTGCAGGCTGGCCATTTCAGTACCCAGATCCTTCTCCTACGTAGCCATGATGTTGTGATTGCTGCAGAATGTGGTCTGGCATTATCATGTTGAAAAATGCAGGGTCTTCCCTGAAAGAGATGACGTCTAGATGGAAGCATATGTTGTTCTAGAACCTGAACATAGTTCTCTGCATTAATGGTGCCTTTCCAGACATGCAAGCTGCCCATGCCACAAGCGCTCATGCAACCCCATACCATCAGTGATGCAGGCTTCTGAACGGAGCGTTGATAACAACTTGGGCTATCCTTGTCCTCTCTGGTCCGGATGACATGGCGTTCCAGTGTTCCATAAAGAACTTCAAATCATGACTCATCTGACCACAGAACAGTCTTCCATTTTGCCACACTCCATTTTAAATGACTCCTGGCCCAGTGCAAATGTCTGAGCTTGTGAAGCTTGCTTAGAAATGGCTTCCTCTTTGCACTGTAGAGTTTCAGCTGGCAACGGCGGATGGCACGGTGGATTGTGTTCACTGACAATGCTTTCTGGAAGTATTCCTGAGCCCATTCTGTTATTTCCTTGACAGTGGCATTCCTGTTTGAGGTGCAGTGACGTTTAAGGGCCCGGAGATCACGAGCATCCAGTAGAGTTTTATGGCCTTGACCCTTACGCACTGCGATTGTTCCAGATTCTCTGAATCTTTTGATGATATTATGCACGGTTGATGATGATAACTTAAAAAAAGTCTTTGCTATTTTACGCTGGGTAACACCATTCTGGTATTGCTGCACTATCTTTCTGCGCAACAATGGTGGAATTGGTGATCCTCTTACCATCTTGGCTTCTGCGAGACACTGACACTCTGAGAAGCTCATTTTATACCCAATCATGTTGTCAATTGACCTAATTAGTGTTAATTGGTCTTCCAGCTGTTCGTTATATGTTCAATTTCCTTTTTCCAGCCACTTATTGCTACTTGTCCCAACTTTTTTGGGATTTGTTGACACTGAAATTTTGAATCAACATATTTTTCCTTTAAAATTTTACATTTACTCAGATTAAACTTTTGATCTGTCATCTATGTTATATTACGAATAAAATATTGACATTTGCCATCTCCACATCATTGCATTCAGTTTTTATTCACAATTTGTTTAGTGTCCCAACTTTTTTGGAATCCGGTTTGTACATGATTGTGGTGGTAATCTTGTCAATGATGTTAAAAATAAATAAAAAAGGCAAAAATGTTCTTCAGGAAGCTGAAAAAAATCTGAGTGAGAATAAATTTCATCCTAACATTTAATTCTCTGGGAGGACCACTTGAAACTTAACATGATTTACTATAGTAACAAACAGTAATTAAAAAAGTTTTTTTTTTTAATTATTATTGTTGAAAACACCCAGATAAAATTAAAATAGAAGTTCAACATTAGTCACTTACCTGTTAGTAAAATATTTTTTTGTTCACTTGTTGAAGTCTAAGCTTTGTGATCTTGCCACAAACAGCTTGCAAAAAACATAATGAGCAAAAATATAAACGCAACACTTTTGTTTTTGCTCCCATTTTTCATGAGCTGTACCCAAAGATCTAAGACTTTTTGGGCCTTTGTACAAAACGATGGTTAATTTGTGTACGTAAATTTGTTAGCGAGCACTTCTTTGCCTAGATCATCCATCCACCTCACAGGTGTGGGATATCAAGAGTATTTCCGTATCCATACCCTTGGACTTATTACGCTGTGAAAAGTTGATTTTACTGAAAAGGTTTACAGAAAATAGTTTTTTGTAAATAAGGCCACTTCGACCATGAGCGAGCCGTGTGAAATAAAAGCATAAACCCAAGGTGAATACATTTTGTAGACACTGTAGCAACACGAGTGTTTTCTTGCTGACATGTTTAGTTCCTCTGACTCAAAGTGACAGTTTAAAAGATGGTGGGGGGTTGTGTTGGACTGATCAACACGTAGCCTCGTTAACATTTGAGTCACGAGTCATCACCATCACCGCGCAGCGTGCGGTTCCTGTGGTGCGGTGGGACCCCTGGACACCCCGATGTGACTAATTACACCCAACAAGGTTCTACAAAAGATTCAAAAGTTGACTTTTTTTTCTTTTCTTCCTTTAAATGTTCTTGAAAAATAAACACGTTAAAATCAAAGCAAAGTCAGCATTTGTGGATTCGATTGGACAGGGTTTGGTTCATCAGTGGGAACTTGAGTAACGGTGACTTCATCGCAACACAGCCGGACTTCTCCACCAATCGCATCCTTTGGTTTGCTCGAGGATGAGGGGATTTAAAGATGAAGACGCCGACCACAGCAGTGACACCGCTTCGCTCTTCTTCACCAACTCATTGAGATTTCTTCGATTTAAGACATTCCTAACAGTGTTCATCACCTGACGTGAAAACACAGAATATCAGTCAAACCGCGTGGATCATATTTTTGTTGGAGATGCTTCATCCTCAGGTGTGGGTCCTCCTGGTGGTTTCGAGTTTATCTGGACTGTTGGTGCCGGGCGGCGGGGAGCAGATGACAGAAATACTTCGAGAGGACTTCATCAAAGACCAGGTGAGCTAACAAACTTAAAACGATTTTTCTAAATTCATGTTTTTTGTGTGGAATAATTTTCCATTTCAAGCAACTTGAGTTTCTTTGAATATATTTTTCTCCAACGCTCCTTCAGGCTCCGACTCGTTTGCTCTTCCTGAGGTTCGTCTCTGAGCTGATGGCGTCGAGAGGGGAGACGCTCCGCGAGCTGGAGGAAGAGGAGTTAGGAGGAGGCAGGGAGAGGCTGAGGAGACGACACCTTCGCTTCAGACAGAGAAAAGCAGGCTGCCGCAACTTCTTCTGGAAATCTTTTACCGCCTGTTAACACAAACCAGGACTGTTCAAGCCGGAGCTTTTTTTTTTCTTTCTTTCTTCTAGAACCAGCAAAATAAAATCAGATGTTCTGGTTGTAAACGGTAAAAAATGTTTTTAAAACCCGTCAGCAGTGTTCTCTGTGAAGCTCCATCCTGTCTTACGTTCTATGAAACGTTCAACATTTCAACTTCAAATTAAAGTGTCAGAAATCATCCCTGAGCCTTCGTTTTGTTTCGTGCTCTGAGCTAAGAGGAACTAAGCAACATGCGACCGACAAATCTTAACCCAATAAACTACCCGTTTGTGCTTAAACACATTTATTTAGCACAAAACGGCCTCAGATTGAATTCAATTTGTGCAGCAGGCCTCTCTCCTCTCATAGAAGCTCCCGTTTACATTTTAAAGGATAATGCAGTAAAGATGATGGATAAGCGACACAAACAGTTGATGCAGGACTTACCAACAACAGAAGCCAACAAACCATCACCTCGAATGGTTAAAAAAAAAAAAAAAAAAAAAAAAAAAAAAATCAATTTACAAAAAAAAAAAAACCCTCAAAAACTCTGAAATGTTTCAGTGTTCGTAAAACTGAACCTTTAAAGGGTAGTTCAGTGGATATGTTATTATCTTACCTGTTGTGGATAGCCTTTTGAAGTACCTCAGTTGATGAGCTAACGGCTAGTCTGAGCGAGGCCGAAAACGAAGTTAAAATTTTTACAGCAGTTCATGTTTAAATCCTACGCCGCCGCCAGCGTTACCTTACATTCACGTACCGTTCAGACTGAAACCGCTTCTCCAACAGATGAAGAACTGTTCAAACCGTTCCCACAGAGCCCCACAATTCAAAAGATCTGAACTTTCCCTTTAGGTTTAATGTGGACAAAACTGAACGGAAAAACAGTAAAACAACTTTACCAAATATTGTTTAAAACTCAGATTATGACAACTTTACCCACAAGTGCAAGAATAACTCAAATTATTTAACAATCACGGACATTTATCTGAAAATAAAACCTTTAGTGAAATGTTTTGTTTTAAACATCACCGCTTCCTAAAGTAACTTTTAATCCCTTTCACATGGGTCTCATTTCATCTTTGCTGCAGAAACTAATTTAGTTGAGCTTTGGCACAAATATAAACTCCTCGCATGGACGACATGGTGACAACACCCTGCTGACCTTTAGAGTCCAATGGTTCCCAACACTAGTCCTTGAGGAACACCATCCTGCATGTTTTAGTCGTTTCCCTGTTCCAACACACCTGATTCTGTGATTACTTCCTCATGTTCTGCAGAAGCCTGTTAATCACACATTAATTAAAATCAGGTGTTTCGGATCAGAGAAACAACTAAAACATGCAGGATGGCGTTCCTCAAGGACCAGAGTTGGGAACCCCTGATTTAGATGACAAAGCATTTGTTTTCATTACATCATCATCTTCAAAAGGACAAACTGTCAGATTTTTTTTTTTTTTTTTGTCGAGCTTCAGTTGCAGAAATCGTTTTATGAGCTAAATAACTAAACGTGACACCGTTAGGAGAAACTAATCTTGTTAAGTGTTCAGAAATGCTAAATCATGTTAGCTAAACATTCTTTTTTGTCTACATTTGTCTTTCTGAGGCGACTTCACTGTAGATTTCACAGCTCGAAACTCTTCAAAACCATTTCAAACCAACCCATTGTGTTTCTGTACAGTCACAGTATTCGGTTAGGTTCTGCGCTTTTAATTTGAAAACCGTGAGGCAGCTCAGATCTCTGATAAGTGATTTACGAAAATAGTTCCATTCTTTTTTTTTGTTTGTTTGGAAACATTTTACACAAGTCCGTCAAAATTATTGGGTCCAAAAAAGAAAGGAAAAGAAACTAAAAATCAGTGTTTAGTTTTAAAAACTGTAAACGTTCAGCTTGATTGTGACAATAAAGTGAGATATGATCAGTACCGGAGTGGAGCCGTGGAAAAAGGAGCCCGAGCTGCCTGCAGGTCAGGCCACGGTCGTACTAATACTGAGAAACATGATTAATGACGTACCGAAAATGCAGGAAGTGAAGGTGACGTGGGGAAAACGTTAAAGGGAAATACAGCGGTGACGTGCTCTGACTGCAACCCAACGCTCGACGTTCCCAGTTTATACTTGGAAACAAAAAGGGGGAAACAGTCTGAAGAAAGCAGAGGCGTGCCGTCCGTGATGCTTTGGGTTTGTGCGACAACGTTAGCAGTCGGTGGAGATTTTGGCCGACAGGTCCTGGATGCGGCGAGCGCTGCAGCTCTTACACAAGATGTGGCCGTCCAGCGGGTAACAGCCTCGCCCTTCGCCTTCAGACGACAGCAGGAGGCCACACTCCTGATGAACACAGACATTTGAGTCACATTAGCTTAACGACGCAGCAAACAGGTGAATAAATGCAGCTAATGAAAGGCTTTCAGCTTGAACATCGTTCTGACACTTGGAGCGCTGTGCTCAGACTATTTTCATTCTAGGGCCGAGTTGATCTTTAGTTGGTTCTAAAGTTCAAATTTACCTTCAAATGTACAAAAACACACAACAGCTTCCACCGAGTCATTACTTAGTAAACAAAAAACAGCTACAAGGGACAAGCTGCGAGTGGAAAAACAAGTCCACGCCATGAACCAACTGGTTGTAGAACCTTATATAAATATTAAACCATTAGTTGTTTTCTGCCCATTTGTCTCTCTTATGGTTGTGGAGGAATATTTTTGCCCACTCTTCTTTACAGCGTTGTTTCAGTTCTTTGATGTTTCCAGACGTTAGCTTCTGCTCGGCTCTCTTCAGGTCCCACCACAACATTTCAGTCTGGACTTTGATTATTTTCTTTTTGAGCCATTCTGTTGTAGATTAGCTGCTGTTTGGGGTCACTGTTCTGTTTTTAAAGAATCCTTTGTTCTACAGAGGAGCTCATTGTGGACTCTATGACTCCAAAGGTCCTAAAGCTGCAAAACAAGCCCAGATCATCAGACTTCCACCACCGTGTTTGACAGTTGGCGTGTTTTTTTATTTTTATTTTTGCACCAATTTCCTGTTTGTTTTTTACGGTGCATTATGGGTAAACCTGTAGTTTGGTTTCATTTGTCCAAAGGACATTGTTCCAGACATCTTGTGCTTCATTCAGAGGAAACTTTATGAATCTGATCTATGATCACCGTGAGGTTTTCTCCTGGCACCCTTCCAGGTCAATTGAACTTGTTCAGTTTTTTTTTATTTTTTTAATCTGTCCCTTTGAACCTGCTAACTGAACCCTGCAGAGATGAAGCTGTTTTGTTCTTCTTTTTTAAATTCTCTGAGCACAGTCTGATGTTGACTGCTGGAAAGATTGGCAGCCATCTTTAACATTTTCCACTTGTGAATAATCTTTTGTTCTACAGGTGATCCCACTGATGATGATCAGTGAGTTCATCAATACATCTGATCAGCAGCTGAAGATGAACTTCTTGACTCCTGTTGAAGCAGCTCAGAGTTTCACACACAGCTTTTATTTTCTTGGTCCGTTCCGTTGTGTGTTTTTGTACGCTTGAGGTTGGATGTGAACAGATTTATAAGCTGGTAAAAAACAAATCATTTTACGTCCTCGTTCATAAAAACCTGAGAATTAGAGGGGGTGGATTTTCTTCCCTTGTTACTTATATTTTGTACTTTTCAAAGTTTCTAAATTGTAACTTTTGTTTTTAGAGTTAGAAAACCAAACCTCACCTCACAAACGTAACAGTTGACATGAAAACTGCGGTCCAAAGCTACAATCCTGACGGTTTCCTCCTGCCCCGGTTCGGGCATGATGGGCTCGCCACAGACCGAGCAGCGTGGTGCGTACTTCCTGTCAGGGACGAGCATCAACCCTCAGTTAGTCGTAACTAAAGAAAACCTCCAGCTGCTGAGCGATTGTGTTTAAGTACCGATGAAAGTCATCTATGCAGTGGATCTGAGACGTGGCGTCCACAGTGAAGGGCACCCCGTCCAGGCAGCAGTTACAGACCACGCAGGTGAAGCAGCGGGGGTGGTAGGCTTTCCCCATGGCCCGCAGGATCCGGTCCAGGATGGGCTTTGAGCACTTTGAACAGCGCTCCAACGTACTCTGGACACAAACAGTTGTACAAGATAGAACTAAAGAAATTACATTTCCTGTGAAGATGCAGTGTGGATGCTTAGAGCTGAAGAATTTGCAGAAAAACAGCTGAAGTTCGCTAAAAAGACATGTTGATTTATAGCTGAAATGAAAGAACAACCCTTAATTAGCAGAAGATTAACAGACAGAACACATTTAAGTTGAATTTGGTTTAAATAAGCAGAAATTAGCACAAAAATTGGGAAATTAGCTAAAAAAAAGGCTGAAATTAGCAAAAAATAGCTGAAAAGGCAGAAAGAAGCTTAAACTACTAGAAGGAAGTAGAATGAGCTAAAATGAGCTAAAAATGTGGACTTAGTTGAAAAGGCTAAAGATAGCATAAAAACAGCTAAATAGTAGCTGAAATATCAGAAAAAGCTGAAATGAGCATAACAAGCTGGAATTACCATAAAGAAGGTAATTAGGTTGAAAGTAGCAAAAATTACCATGAAAAACTTGAATTTATCCGAAAACAGCTGAAATTAGCTAAAAAGATAGCTGAAAAGGTAGAACAAGCTGAAATTAGCAGAAGAAAGCAAAAATAACACGCGTTTGCCCATTTAGGCTGAAAGAAGCAGAAATGAGCACAAAAAGTGAAAACTATCTGAAAAACGCCGAAATTAGCAACAACCCAAAAAAAAACCCAGCTGAAATAGCTAAAAAATCATAAAGAAGCTTAAATTACCAACAGGAAGTGGAGAGAGCTTATTTTTAGCTAAATTAGGCTGGAAAAAGTTGAAATGAGTGCAAAAAATGTGGAATTAGCTGAAAAAGCTAAAATTGGCATAAAAACTGCTCAACAGTAGCTGAAATAGCAGAAAAAGCTGAAACTAGCAGAAAGTTCTTTTTTCATTCATTCATTCAATCTTTCTTTATACTGGTTAGTCTCATTGAGCTTCTGGGACTCATTTACAAGATAGAAGCACAAAAATATAGTTAGCAGACAAAAGCTGAAAGGAGCACAAAACAGCTGAAAAACAGCTGAAAGTATCTGGGAAAAAGTTCAACTTTGCACAAAGAAGCTGAAAGAAGCTGAAGCAGAACAAAATGTGAAAGGAGCAGTAAAAGGTTGTAAACACATCTAAAGATTTAAAGGATGGAAAACGATCTCAATTCATTTCCTATGAGAAAAAAGGGTCAGAAAAGGCTAAATATTTCAAAAAGCCAAAGTTGCACCAATACCAGAAGTAATGGCAGGATTGTCCTGAAAGAGCTGAATGTTTTGATATATGATTTGTTGAAATAGCACAAAAGTTGTGGAACGAGAAAGATGCTGAAAAACGTACGTAAGAAAAATGGACGACAGCAGTGTGAATGCTTCAGAAACCTTCACGGCACTAATGTTGAAACTGTGATCTCATTTAAACAGACTGTGTGTTTCAGCTCCTCCACTTACAATGTAACAGCTCTCACAGTAACTCTTCTTGTCCAGAGCGTAGAACGGCTGCCCTCGGAGACGTGCGTGGCACGTGATGCACGTGAAACACTCCACGTGGAACACCTGCTCCATCGCAATGCAGCCACTGCCGTCACCGACGACGTTATCCCCACAGCGAGCGCAGCGGCCTGAGCGCAGACACATCGGTGGAGAACATTAAAAACCTGATGTTCTTCTTCACAAACCCACACGGCTCAGTTCACTGCTCCGATGGAGTCTGCCCTACCAAAGTAGTCGTCCGCAGGGGGGTGGTTCATGTCGTACACCAGCTTCTTGGTGAGACGATCCAGCTCTTCCTCGGGCCTCGACGTTGCTGCCCCCTGCTGGGAGAAAGAGGAAACAAGCAACAAGTTGGAAACTGAAAAATGAGATAAAACGATTTTAGTTTCATGACACAAGTAGATATGAAAATATTCCACCGTGTTCTGACAGTCGATGCATGTTTGTGTCTCTACCTTGCTGGACTGATAAAACGCCGTCTGCACCGAACCCATCTGAGTTTTTTCCATCCCTCTCTTTGGCAGTGCGACCTGGTTACCTCGCCCCCCTGACCCCATACCACTGCCCTTGTACCCCCCCTCAGAGTGCATCTCCTGAACTTGTGAGCTGGGGTGTGAGGGGTACCAGCCCTGCAGACCGGTCTGAGTTTGGGCTGGGGGTCGTGACGTGTGTTGGCGAGGAGGGGGAGGGGTATAGGCTTGCTCTGCCTGCCTGCCGGTCTGGGAGTAGGTGACGGGCTGCGCCGTCTTGACCTGTACACTGAACCGAGGCCCGGTGGGGGTGGAGGCGGTGGTGTAGGAGGCCGGGACGGGCTGGGGGTAGGCTTTATGGCTGGAAGAGGAGTAGTAGTCCTGCTGGTGGGAGTACTGAGGGCTCTGGTGCTCGTCGGGGTAGGGAGGGGCCGGGCGGTATTGGCTCTGGGGGTGAGAGTTGTAGCTGATGGAAGTCCGGCCCTGAGGGGGGGCGGAGCTCTGGTGATTGTAATGATCCCCTGAGATGTATTTGTTGTAAGGCACGTTGTCGTAGAGCTGCGGAGCGACAGATTATTACAGTCCAACTTTAGAACTGATTTTAAACACTTTTGATCTTCAACTGTAAACTCGTTTATTCAAACCTGAGTGCTGGAGTCCGGGGGCTGGCTGTCCAGATCAGCCAACATGCTGGTGAGGGAGTCGATTTCAGCATCGATCTTAGAGTGGTAGCCAACCGGCTTCTCAGGACCGCGGTGCTAACAGAACAAAAACAAACTAGAGGAATTACAGTTCCTACAAAAATGAAATGCTTACTGCAGAAGAACTTGCTGAAAACACAGCTGAAATTGGCTAAAAACATGTTGAAAAGTAGCTGAAATAGAAGAATAAGCCTAAATTAGCAGAAGAAAGCAGAAAGAAATAACACATATTTGCTTAATTTTGTTTACATAAGCAGAAATTAGCACAAAAATTAGGAAGTTAGCTTAAAAAAAGGCTGAAATTAGCAAAAAAAATGAATACCTGAAAAATACCAGTAGTTGAAAAGGCTTGAAAGAAGCCTAACACTACCAGATGGAAGCGGAAAGAGCTGAAATGAGCTAAAAAAAATGTGCAATTAACTGAAAAAACTGAAACTAGCATCAAAACAGCTAAATAGTAGCTGAAAGAGCAGAAAAAGTTGAAACTAGCAGACAAAAGCTGAAAGGAGAGTAACAAGCTTAAATAAGCATAAAGAAGTTAATTAGGCTGAAAGTAGCAGAAATTAACAGGAAAAACTTGAATGTATCTGAAAACTGTTGAAATTAGCTAAAAAATGCTAAACAGTAGCCGAAAAGGTAGAACAAGCTTAAATTAGCAGAAGAAAGCAGAAAGAACATGTCTGCCCAACGAAGAAGCAGAAATCAGCACAAAAAAGTAGAAATTATCTGAAAAAAAATCTGAATTAGCAAAAAATAAAAAGCATCTGAAAAGTAGCTAAAAAGGTAGAAAGAAGCTTAAATTGCTAGAAGGAAGTGGAGAGAGCATATTTTTGCTGAATTAAGATGAAAAAAGTTTAAATTATTGCAAAAAAAATGTGGAATTAGATGAAAAAATTGAAATAAGCATAAAAATGGCTAAATAGTGAATGAAATAGCAGAAACAGTTGAAACTTGCAGAAATAAGTTGAAAGGAGCATTAAAAGCATAAATTAGCAGAAATAAGTTAGAAGCACAAAAAAGATTTTTTTGTTAGAAAGAATCTGAAAGGAGCACAAAACAGCTGAAAAAAAAAAAGGTTGAAATTAGCTAAAAGTAGCTTAAGTTTAAATTTATAGAAGGAAGCTGAAAGAAGCTGAACCAGAACAAAATGTGAAAGGAGCAGTAAAAGGTTGTAAACACATCGAAAGATTTGAAGGAGGTAAAATGAGCTCAATTCATTTACTATGAGGAAAAAAGTGTCAGAAAAGGCTAAATATTTCAAAAAGCTAAAGTTGCACCAATACCAAAAGACTTGGTAGGATTGTCCTGAAAGAGCTGAATGTTTTGATATCAAGGTTTCTTTATTGGCATTCTCAAGCTTGTTCTACCTGTTCAGCTACCTTTTTAACATTTTCTAGCTAATTTTGGCTGTTTGCAGATAAATTACAATTTTTTTTGTGGTAATTTCTGCTATAAGTCTAAACTTCTTTATGGTAATTTCAGCTTGTTATACTCCTTTCAGCTTAATTATGCTAGTTTCAGCTTTTTCTGCTATTTCAGCTACTATTTAGCTGTTTTTATGCTAAACGTAGCTTTTTCAGCCAATTCCACATTTTTAGCTCATTTCAGCTCTTTCCACTTCATTCCGGTACTTTAAGCTTCTTTCTGCCTGTTCAGCTACTTTTCAGCTATTTTTTTGGTTGCTAATTTTAGCTTTTTTTTTTTTTTTGCTAATTTCCTAATTTTTGTGTTTATTTCTGCTTATTTAAATCTATTTCAGTAAATATGCAATCTTTCTGCTTTCTTCTATTTTAGGCTTGTTCTTCCATTTCAGCATTTTTTTTGTGTGCAAATTTCAGCTGCTTCTCAGCAAGTTCTTCAGCAATGAGCATTCACACTGCATTTATTATCGTCGTCGTCGTCGTCGTCGTCGTCGTTGTTGTTATTGTTGTTATTATTAATATTTTTATTATTATTCACCATGTTGTTTAGAAAAAGCAGTGACATTAAATGTGCTGTAGCGATGATTTAGAAGCAGAAGTGCTTCGGGTAGAAAAAGGTTCAAATGGAGAGTTCTGCCTGAAGATGTGTTTTTCTATATTTAATTGAAATGTACAGGATGTTCACCCACCACCAGCTCGTAGCTCTCCATGTGAGGACTCCAGCTGCGATCCTCCGAGGGGCCGCGGGGAGGAGAGTAATAACGATCACCTGACGAATGATGAACGGGCCCACCTGTGGTTCATCAAACAAATACTGTAAACATCTGTCCATCATGGCGCGAACCATTTAAGAAGCGACACATTCAGACAATTAAAGTATCAATTTAAGTATAAAGTATTTCTACAGTCAGTCTGTTGAGGTCAGAGCCAAACATGCTTCAGATAAACTAATAAACTCACTACGCCGTAAATTTGATTATAAATTTAAAATGTGACCCCTGAATGAGCTCAGAATGGAGGGATCGAAATAAGAAAATACTGATTTTAGCCATAATCAAAATTTGCATATAAACGAGTTCATAAAGACGACGTCTAGCTATTCTGGTAAATAAATACGTGTATTATCTTACTAATATACCTTTAAAGTTTTCCAACTTCAGAAATAATCCTTTTACAACTAATCTCTTTAATTTCCTTTGAAACTGACCATTATTCTGTTATTATTCTATAGCTCAGGAAATCCCTTCGTATAATGTTTGACGTCATTGTGAAACTTGAGATATCGTTAACAAATCTAGCTTCCTGCCGGGTGATAAATCTCCAAATTTCAACAAACTACACATTTTGAAGCTTTTACGATGAAAAAATGAATTCAATTCAATTCAAAAATACTTTATTAACTGCGAAGGGAAATTAATTCTTGTTGTAGCTCATCATCCTGGTTTCATTAGAGTTGTTATAGATGCTGTCTGCAGGCAGGAAGAATCTGCAGCAGTCCGTCCCACAGCGGATCCCAAGAAACTGGCTGCAGATGCCGATTCATCCACCTGGACCCAGCAGACCTCTCGGTCCTCTTGGGTAGCAAGACTGCCTGAATACCGGACAGAACTCCTCCCCGAGCGATGGCCACTCCTCCCAGCAGCCTGCTGAGCCCCTCGTGTCCTGTCGGATGGAACTGCAGGTGTCGAGGGACGATCCTGGTCCTCCCACTGTCACAAGCCACGTTTTCTGCCAGCTCCAGGATCTCAGCGGTCAGCTACTTGAGCACTGCTGCCAGATAGATGGGAATGCATCCACGGCACCTCCTTTTCAACTCATCTGGGATTTGGAGCTGTAGCTGAGGTGTTATTTGAGCTTTTGAGATGTTAATCAGCAGCTCCCAGTTGTAGAAAACCACCTTGTTGTCATGGTTACGCATCATAACAAATGTCCAAAAGTACAAAGGTTTCAGTAAAAAATCCTTCTAGCTGCACAACATCTGATACCAGAGGAAGTAATCATCCAGAAAAAAAATATTTCCATCCAGAAAAAGCAATTTACATCCAGAAAAAGAGGAATTAAGTTTTCAAAAGCAAATTTTCAGAATGAATGTCACAGAGCTACTCCAACATGCAGCCACCCCGAGCGGCGCAATTCTAGAACATAACTCAACATTTAAAAATTTCCCCGTGACTCATATTGCTCACACGGGTCTAATTTATCTTTAAGAGGCTTCCTGTGGCCCATCCAGCCACAGAAAAAAATGAAACATCTTAGAGCTTAATCTTTTCTATCTTTTATCAATGTTTGTAAACTCCCGATCCTAATGTTCGGTACTTGTTTTGTATCAAAGGACAGAAATCGCCTCAAACTGGTCTGAGATTCAAACAGTTCAAGACCAAAGAGTTACTTACTAAAACAGTCTGCTCTTAATGAGTTCTATTTTTCCTGCACTCAAAACAGCACTGGCAAAAGAAAGCTTTGTCAAACTCAGTACTGAAGACTGATGTTCTGAGCATGTGCAATTTTTCAGCACCAATGAGGAGATTCCTAAAGAGCTCTGATGTGAATTACAGGTTGATGCACCTCTCATGACCTTGGCTGGATATTTTCTCTCCCAGTTTCTTAAAGACCTGATGTTGAGACGCTGTTCATCAGCTAAAGGTAGTTTTGAGACATGTCCTCCACGTGTCACTTGTCCTAATGTTTTAGATGGCCGATCTGCTGCAGCCATATCCCACAGCGCTCTCCGAGGTCAGCAGACCAGATGATTTTATTGGTTCCAGTTTGTTTTAAGCTCAGAGGTGACAGGGCTTTCTCTGCTGCAGGTCCAAAACCGTGGAATGACTTACCACTGCATGTCAGACAGACTCTCTCTCTCTCACTGTTTTTAAGTCTAGTTTGAAAACTCTCTTTTATTCCAAGGCTTCTGTGAGTAGCTTTTTACTTGTCCGTATTCTATAACGTTAATCAATTAGTTCTTATATTTATCTATTTGCATCTACAGTATGTGTTTATCCTGTGTCCTTTGCTTGTTTTGTTTTTGCTGTACAGCACTTTGCTTGGCCTTGTTGCCGTTTTAAGTACTTTATAAATAAAGTTGTTTAGTATGCCGTCACAGTCTGGTACTACACCTGGACAGTAAATGAGCGACAAAGCAGCAAAGGTTAAAAATAAGTCTTTAAAATAACTTCAAGAAGCCTTTGAACTACTGATTGAGACAAATTAAAAATACTAGAAAGTCTGGCTGCTTGGAGGCAAAGTATAAGTAAAATGGGACGGTTTACCATTTTCTTGCAGTACTATTCACTTGAATTACGTCAGGAAGGGATTTCTTACACGCAGCACAAAGAAAAGGAAGTTATGACTCATGGGCTAATATTTCAAACGGCCAAACATAAAGAACAATAATGGTTTAGAAGCTGCAGAATATTGTCTGCTATCAGCCGTTTGTTGCTGGTTAAAAACATCGACAGAAGATATTGTCCTCACAGTTCCCAGTTTCACTTCCTGCTCGGGTCAAACAGAGTTCCTTATAGGAAGTTCCTCTTTTATCATAGTTACAATAAAATGGGTAAAGTCAGAGTTATTTATGACGCCCAGAGGACGTTACAGCTTCACTCCTCTCCCACAGCCCATGACCCCCTCACCTGTGGGTCCAGCTGCCATGTATCTGTTGCTCATCCCTCCTCCATTCTGATCATAGTGACCATATTTTGCTCTGAAGTCAGGCGTGCCCTTCTTGTTGGGGGCTTGGTAGATGGCTGCCCCAGCAGGGTAGGACATCTGGGGGACGGTTCGTTCGGGGCTGTCCAGAGTTCGTGGTGGCAGCCAGGTGGGACCGGACATGGCAGGTTTCTGGGATCAAACAATACAATATATCTGTTGACAATACACATCGTACACCGTGCAAACACAGCTGTGCGGTAACCATTGGCAACCGTGGGATGCTTCAGAGTTGGTTTCCTATGGCAACAGGAGGACGCACGTGTTGAACAATGAGGGCTTCGAGTGGAGGAGGAAAAGAGCAACGGTTCCAACGCTCGGGAGTTTCCAGCGCGCTCCAAAACATGAGCGAGTGTGTTTGAGTGCGACTTGGAGACAAAAACAATCACACAACAGCTCTACAGCACACGCACACAGGTGCCTCACTACAATAGTAATTGTGCGAAGTGTTTACACACCCAGAGGTTACATTTCCAAACGAAGCTGGGACAAAAACAGAAGAGGAAACGTTGAGCGATGATATTTGTCTGTATACATGCGAACACCTGGCTCGTAACAATATATGACGACGCTGAACGCCCACAGCTGTGAGCTTAAAGTGCTGACTCGCATCTGAAAGGCCTCAGGATTCCACCGCTATACAAGAAATATGTGTTTAAAAACAATTAACATAAAGCGTTTTATCCTGACGCATGCTCAATAATCCAGGTAGAAAAATCTGACAAAGTTAAGTCAGGAAGAAGTCTTTCGGATGAAAGACGAAACGTTTCTACAATTTTTGTAATTTTTAACTGAACCCATCCAGAGGACCTGACTTTATTTTTTTTTTTTTAGATAAAGCGTTTTAATTTATTTCACAAATCTAGATGAGAAGGAAGCAGAGATTAATAAATCAACTAGCTCATAGCTGAATGGAGTTCAGCTTGATTGATGACTGGTCAATCGAACACTCACATTATTTATTTTTCCTGGTCAGTGAACATGAAGCCAGAATCTAACTGGGCTGCAACAGCTGGCATCTAGTTCGTAAAGAGCATTTAAGAGGAAGTCTCTGAAATGTTGTTGCAGAACATTTGCATGAGTTGCTGTGCGAGTTGCCGTGCGAGTTGCAACGGCACATTCTTTTCTCTTTAATTTGGAACTTGTCCAAAAAATTACTATTCTCAAAATGTTAAAGTTCATGCTCAATAATCCAGGTAAAAAAATCCAACGAAGTTCAGTCAGCTCATCTGGATGGTTTCTTATTTTGTTGAGACATTTCGTCCTTCATCCAAAGGGCTTCATCAGTCCAAGGATTCACAACAAACGCAGTCCCACAAGCAGCAATAGTGGACCAACCAGTTTGCTGGTGGTGTTGAATTATTGAGCATGAACTCTGATGTTTTTAACCACTTTGGCTACGGCTGCCTCAGAGGAGTCGACAGGGGAGAGGCCCCAGAAACCATCTTATCACCAGCAAAATGGTTCGTCCACATGCGAGAATGCTGCTGGTGGGTTTGTTGTGGCTCCTTGGACTGATGAAGTCCTTTGGATGAAGGACGAGACGTCTCAACAAAAAAAGAAACCGTCCAGATGACCTGACTGAACTTTGTTGGATATTCTCAAAATAGTTACCTGAGGCATCTCAAACCCGACTGTTTACTTCCTGTAAATTCTGGAGCTCCATTACTGTATTTTGACACCGACAGAGGAACTCTCCTACGACACAAAACATCAGCAGCTACAGCCCTGGATGCCCACATCTAAAAACACAACAACAAAACATAAAACTGGTCCACATTCAGATTTATTTAGTCCAAAACAGTACTTTCATAAATTAAATCGTAAACATGGGGGCAACAGCCAAGGTGCGTACGAAGCAAAACAAGTTGGGAACAAAATAACGTGCACGGTCTTGAAAACAGTTTTTAAAGCCGTAGTGAAAGTAGGTCAGGATTTTCAAAAGATGGTCGCACACGATGTGGCCACACGGCTCACTGGTCGCATTCAAAATTCAATGAGTGTGCTGGAAAAGTCATCTGTTTTCTCTTCACTTCGAGTCACCGACTAGTCTCGAACAGCCGCAGCCCAGAGATACAGTGGTCCCTCACTTATCGCAGGGTTACGCTCCAGAGACCCCGATGGTAAGTGAAAATCCACAAAGTAGCGGCAATATATTTATTTTATTACTTATATAGGATTAAGGCTTTATAAACCTTTCCCATTCGCTATAAACACTTCAGTGTTTCCCCTATCATTATACAACCAGGGTGCTCCACCGTGTCAACAGAACTGAGCACCCCCCTCCAACAACTGTCAGCACTGATGTAGCGCTAAGCTAGCAGCGCGCAATACAGATCCATCTATCCATTATCTTTACCCACTTCTTCCTTTTTGGGTCACAGGGGTCACTGGAGCCCATGTCCAATTATCACTGTGCGAGAGGCTGGGTACACCCTGGACAGGTCTCCAGTCCATCTCAGGGCCACATCGAGACAAACAACCATTCACTCTCACCTAGGGACAATTTAGAGTTACCAATCAGTCTAAAACGCATGTTTTTGGTTTGTGGTCGGAAACCGGAGTACCCGGGGAAATCCCACGCATGCACAGAGAGAACATGTAAACGCCACGCAGAAAGGTCCCTGGCCGGGATTTGAACCAGAGCGACCTGCTCGCTGAGAGGCGGCAGCTCTACCAACTGCGCCACCATGCTGCCCGCACAATACAGACGCGCTAGCTAAAAAGCTACAGAGGTAGCACTCCATTTCCCTCACGCCAAGCAGTCGCAAGCTACTCTTAAAAAAAACACAATATTTTATGTCATGAAATGAGGAAAAAAATTACAAACCTAAAAGTTACTTTATTTTCTAGAAATCACTCTTATTCGTCTAAACATCCATCATGACAGAGTTTTATTGTTGGACTAATCCTATCAGCTGATACGAACCCCAAACAGACTGAACTAGAGTCGAGCCATGCAAAACCAAATGGAGGTCCTGTCTGTGCAGAAATTAAAAACCCACTCACACTGATTGGATGTGGTTGTGTAATCATCCCCCAGGCTAAGAGGATTAGAATGACAGACGAGAGGTTGATGTAGCTGCGTGTTGAAGAATTTTCAACCAGGAACATTTTTAACCTTTCACTTCGTTGTTATAACTTCCTGTTTGTAAGGCTGCTGTCAACATTAAGCCCAACTAAGTTCAGGATTTGTTTATTTATTTTCCAGACTGAGTTCATACGGGGATAGAGTCCATCTCCTCCACTGTGGTTCTGACTGAAACAAGCATCTGTCTGAATGCAAATGAGCACACACTTAAATCCGGGGCGGTCCGGGCTGAGAAATTAATCTCTACGGTTTCATCTCCTCGCGCCTGGTTGTCATGCCACCTGCATAACCGCGCTCACACGTTTATCTTTCAGATCAGATGCGACTCCTGACAAAATAACTCGTGTCAAGTTCTGAAATGAGTAAAGCGAACGACGAGCATCGAGTCAGAAAGAATAAAACAAAGAGGAGAGAGTAAATTTAAATAAAGCAAAATAATAAGAAAAAAAAAAAACATGGAAGTTGTTGCGAATCTGAGTTTTACACCCAGCTTCTTCATTAGGAGATCATCCAACTGTCTTTCTGTGTTTGTTAGCAAAATATCTAATGAACCACTGGACAGACTTCAACAAACTCAGAAATTAATTGGACACGCATCTATGATTAACCTTTGAAGTCAAACCAAATTTGGATGGCTGTCGCAGCTGACTTCAGCAAACAACAAATGGCTCCATCGTTGTCAGTTTTACAGATATTGAGCTAAAACCTGGTGTGGTAGTAGCTGAGATTCATTCCCAACACATGCGCTGAGCACTAACAGATCACACGAGCACTTTGTTTAAAACTTTGGCTTGTAAGGCCACGTATGATACCAAGGAATGCTTGTTTCATTTTTTTAATGTTTAAGACACAACAATACTTTTATTTTGAAGGTGAGTGGGCTGAGGTGGCTAAATTTATCAGCAATGTTTAGTATAAGTAAAATAACAAAAAGTACTTATTTGTAGCGCCATGGCAGCCAGTTGAAAAACGTTAAAAAAAAAGCTCCTAAACATTACTTTACATGTAAATTTAAGAGCTTCCTACCTGTTCACAGTGTCAGCGGTTTTACAGTCCTCTGCCTTTGGGTTTCATCTACACAAAAAAAAGTAAAATGGTTAAAACAAGAAGCAAATGGACAAACATTTTAACATTTTCATTTTCAGCAGCATCATGTTGTAAAAATGAACAAGGAAACAAACTGTGTAGCTGTTTCAGAGTCTAAATCTGTCCGAGACACACTTCGGCCATAAAATAATCAATAATGAGGGTAAAGTAGCCACAATTAGCTTTAATAACAGGCTTGTTTACTTGTTTGTTAGCATGTTGTGAGATCGAGCGAAGCCTTTCCTGGAGGGGGAGCTTTTTTCGGCACAACACCGGGGCTAACTTTCAACACACGACCGAAGCGATGCGGTAAACCGACGCCTACCGTCCGAAAAGAGCCGAACAAACACGACCTACTCGACTATTTAAACGTCGGAGCGAGAGCGAAAGTTGACCCGAAGACGCCCCGTTTCCTCCGAGCCGTCGTTTACCTACTTTCGTCGCGGATCCAAAGGCCTTTCTAGCAAGGGAGACAGCAGCAGCGGCTCCTCGCGCTGCATTCCCAGCGCGTGACGTAGCAGGGTGCGCGCCAGGGCGCGGGCACGAGAGGGGGCGTTTGGAGACGGAGGAGGGTTAAAGAAAAAGATTTATCTTCCTTTAAATGAAAAAAAAAAATCCCTGTAAATTTATTCTGTATTACTATTCGTACAGTATGCAACATATACTATGGAGGACGCCATGTCAAGGTGCAGTTGTAGACAGGAGTGTGTCTGGTTTGGGAACCTCAGGGTCTTGTTTCTGCTTTATGCAGATGATGTGGTTCTGGTGGCGACTTCGAGCCAAGACCCTCAGCGTGGACTGAAGTGGTTCATAGCCAAGTGTGAAGCAGCTTGAGGGAGTATTAAGTATTGCATTGGGTGGAGGGGTTCAAGTATCTGGGCTTCTTGTTCACAATGATGGAATCGCCAGATTGTGGCCTCGTCCTCAGTAATGAGGGTGTTGTTTCAGTCAGTTGTTGTGAAGAAAGAGCGGACTCGAAAAGCAAAGTGTTCGATTTACTGCTTTGTCTATTCATTCAGCCTTTATTTATACAGGTTAGTCTCAATGAGCCACAAGAGAGACCTGTTTTAAACAAAGAACACAGAAGAGGTACAGACAACAATAGGCAATCATATAAAAGCACATAAAATGAAAAGTACATAGAAAAAATGATATAAAAACTAAACAAAAACAGCTACATTATAAAACAATGTAAAATACTAAAAACAGGAACACGTCTGCAATGGTTTTTGCCATGAACTTAGAGTGGTCAAGATCGACAACTTCAGATCTGAGATTTTATTTTTTTTTTTTAACTTGCATTTTATGTTTTACTAATGAATGTTTTGTTGTAAATATTTTAATACTATTGTTACAGTTTTTAAGACCGTGTTGCTGTATTTAAATATTGTCCAGGACATCCTTGTAAAAGAGAATGATGATCTCAATGGATTTTTTCCTGGCAAAATAAAGTAAAGAAAAATCTTCTGTTACGAATTTCCAGGACATGTGAAGACCCCATCTTCCCACATTTAAGCCGGCCATTGCTCGTTCACAAATTTTCTGCGGACCCCTCTCCTTTTCAGAGTCAGAGTCAGAGTTTCTTTATTGTCATTCGCGCCTCATGTGGTACATGTGGTGGAGCGAAATTATGTACACAGGGTCCCAGTTACATCCAACAATAAAATGTATAAGAAAAACAGTAATAACATCTAAGATATGAACTAAGAAAAACATCAACTAAATATACACTAAGCACTCATAACATAAAACATTGAACATCAGCACAAACATGAACATGAGTCTGTGAGCAGATGTGCACGCATGAACACATCAACATTGAAACAGATCAGCAGCAACATGAAACAGATCAGCAGCAACATGATATGGTTTTTCACAGTGATTATTCTAGTTAGATATTCATGAGTCTAACAGCCTCAGGGTAGAAGCTGTTCCTCAGTCTAGTGGTTCTACACTTAATGC